CCTATTTGAGTTGCGATTTTTTATTTCCTGATATAACTAAATAAATGAATGATACACGATAGAGCGAAGGAAATTATTTTTTTTGTCCTGACCTGGCTTTATCAATCCATCATTCTATTAGTACCGCGCTAGGGTATACGATTGTATATTGGAGGTAATAAATTTATTCCATTATCGTCCACAAAAAAAGTGTACATATTGTTACAAAAACTCAAAAATAATAATTACTATGTGAATTCATAAACAGTAGAATTGGAACCGAGAGGAATACCAGCTAAATCTCTATACAATCGTCTATAAAATCGTTGCCTGTCCTAGAACTATACAAGGATCTATACAAGGTTTCTAAAGCAGTTTACTATCAGGATCCTACCAGATTTGGCTGGGCGTGGAGAGAAACACCAGCGGTAAAAGTAAGTGTTGACGTATATCTGCAATGAGCCCTTTAAATCTACACACTGATCACAAGTTCCGGGAACTGCGCGGAGTTTCTCCTGGTTCCCGCATGGTGACTTCATGGAATGCTGGGCTAACTGACCTGACCTCATACTGATTTTATCATCCTCCAGTGGTGCCCCGCCAGCATAAACTATTATCGTAGGCGGGTGCAGCATTCCATTATCATCCATGCGAAAAAAAAAATGCTAAGAAATTCGCCTAACTCCATGAAGACTTCACTTTTTAGTCTAATAGTTGCTAAGAAGTTCATACTCTCTCTACGAAGGCTTCACAGTTTTAGTCAAATCTATCTTAATGGTACTGATTTTACCACTTGTATATTTATGATCACCAACTCTTCATGACACACCCATTGCTAAAACCACTCCCCTCATTCCCGCACGTCGTAACTATGTTTTGAAGGTGACTGTTTCGTATCGGCTCGTTTAAGATTAACAGATAATATCGCTGAGTATTATGGTGTGTATCTATAGAGTAGATAGATATAGATAAATGTTATTTATTGCATTATAAGTATTACTTGGGGGTAAGGTTGGCAATCTATAGTTTTAATATATTTAATAAAAAATATTTACCTACTGGTGATTGGTGATCATTATAAAACCAGCGCAAAATTCTTCTATGTAATAAATAAATTTAAATTTCGAATAAAGAAAAATGATTTTATAGTATTGTTATCGCTCGTTAAACAATAATATAACTGAATATCATAAATTTATGGAAATCGACTTTGATTATATATTAAGTGTTTATAGTTGACTTTTTAAAATTAATATACTTTGAGTTAATACATTTTATAATTGAGAGCGTCTAAAGTATATTGTAGGGAACTAAAATTTTAGTACTCTCCTTTTTTTTATTAAGGCCAATTTTTTGGTCTCCAAAAACATTTTTTAATGTAGATTTTTGATGTATTGGAATAACAAACAAACCGACAGACCACCTGATGGTAAATGGTAACCGTTATGGTATTTCGTACACCATAGTGTCATGTGACGCTCTCGATACCATTCATGACTGCTAATTTCACTCTGTTCAACAGAAAGAGAATATCCCATGACCATAGAAAGGAGTCTGTAGTGACCAAGAGATTGTGGAAGAGCGAAATGAAAAGGCTGGACTAGTAAAATAAAAATACTTCTCAGGGACTTTCATCATTACATAGTATAAAACAAAGTCGCTGTTGCTGTCTGTCCGTCCCTTGTATGCTTAAATCTTTAAAACTACGCAAAGGATTTTGAAGCGGTTTTTTTAATGGATAGAGTGATGATACATGTACGCCCGTGCGAAACCGGGGCGAGTAGCTAGTAAAATATAAAAGAACCGGGCATGAGAATTATATCTCGCTAAAGACAATAAATGAATCTCATTATTTTTATATATTTTCATCGAGTTTTATTAACACAGTTTGTAAAAAACAACAAAATAAAAAATAGATTGTATAAAATAAAATAAACTATAAAAGTGTTAGTTGACAACCCTAACTTAATCTACAGTAGACGATCGCGTCCAGTCTGAAATTTAAAAGTGGTACCGCTGCTGAAAATTTTCAGTATTTTCTCCGAACACGACCTAGCTCGATCGTGGTGAGTCCTACACGCAATTATTATTTTTTATAGTCTATAAATTAAAATTAAAAATTAAAAATGGAATGTCCATAACTAGTGTATTTATTAGATTTTTATACCCTCGTTAAAATATTTATTGTTTTCAATTGATGTAGTGTAGGAAACTTGTGTTTGATGTTTGTTACAATAATAATAATAATGCATTATTTGTATTGAGTTGTACACCATTTAAAGGAAAGGAAGTAAATATAATAATTAATGTAACTAGAAGATAGGTAAAAATGTACTTTATTTGTGGCAACAGGCTATCAGATGGTAGAATGTTGAGTAACATATTGTGAGAACCCTGATAACAAACACTACATCAGTATATCATAAATTACCTATCTAAATAAATAGTAATATGGTTTATTAATTTTAAATCAGTTCTCTTGATTATTTGTATGGGAAAACTAAAAAAAAACGAGGATGTATATGAAACAAATATGAGTATAATCAAGTGACCACAAAGCAATGGATAGACTGGATATTTTGGTCCGTAAAGGTTAATTCCGCATAATGGCCGTTGCGAATTTGTATCAATCCGCGGGAAGCGTGTTGTGCGTCTTTTTACAATCGACAGAAATTACGTGTTCTATTTTCGAATAATAATTTAAATCAGATCTATTATCTATAGTGTTAGTTACAATTTCTTAATTTTAATGTTAGTAGGAGCAAAAACTTAAATCTCCTTTATACTTTTTTTTTGGTTCTGTTATCCTTTATCGGAAAGGCAAAGAGAACTGCGCCCATACAGCCATGTCTTCATATCCTTTATACTGTTAGCTGTCAAAATTACATTAACGAAGAAGTCCTGTTATAGGTCTCATAGATGGGGTCTATGAGACCTATTACAGGAATTCTCACAGGTGGCAGGTAGGGCCCATCTGTGGAGCATCCAATATTTTTTGTAACTTAGTTTTCAAAAACTGGACACAACACCTAATATACAATAACGACATCGATTTCGGAAATCCACTTCTCTGGTGCATATTTATTTGTCTATATGAAGAAATATCCAGTCTCGAAACAGTAAATTATGTTTGTATAAAAATGTATAAGGATTAACTTTCATTGGCGCCTTAGATATGCGTTAATCTCTTTAATCGATACAGATGCTTCTACGAATCACAGAGCAATTAACAGTATGTTTTATAAGAATTGTTAAGTCTGTTTGGTTTTACAAAAAAATATTTTGTTTCATTGATACGGGTTTAGTCCGTACTAAACCTTCAAAGTCTATACAATTAATTGCTTGCAAAAATCTTATACAGTAAAAAAATAAGACACACTGAGCAAGAGATAACTGCGTTTTTGTATAGGAACTAGCTACTTGCTCCGGATGTACATGTATTATACATATAAACCTTCTTCTAGATCACTCATCTATAAAAAAAAAACGCTTCAAAATCCGTTGCGTAGTTTTAAAGATTTTAGCATACATAGAGACGGACAGACAGCGACCGTGACTTTGTTTTTTACTATGTAATGATAAGGTCTACCTGAAAGAGCTTAGACTGGCCTTATTATTAGTTTCAACAAGTGGACCCACGAAATTTCGAATGTTACAATTTCTCCATTTGGGCATTTTTTCCCATTGTTGTCATTTAGGTCATAGCCAGTACTAAAATAAACTATATACTGTTGGCTTATATCAATAAACTATCCAGCCAACATTAAAGCAATCTATTTTATTTTATTTATAAATTCGAACTAGTATTTACAGATATTACCGCGTTCAACCAAACAAACAAACACTTCAGCTTTATAATATTAGCGTAGATAATCTTCGTTGTTTAATATCTGACTCATTGCAATTTCGATATTGCGGTTGTTTGTCATTTGAAAGTGGAAGCTCCAGTTTCCGCGCCATTACGGTCATTGCACTCAAGGAATGTCATTCGCGCCGTAATTTTAGTTCACTTTATTTTTTATTCCATTAGTAAAATGGATTCAAAGAAAGTTTATTGTCGGCTTTTAAAATATGGTATATTACTTAATATAAATTTATTAGTTAACACGCTGTCATAAAATATTTATGCTGTAATGATTACTATCTTATATCTGATATTCAATTGTTTAATTATTTATAAATATTTCAAATCATTATATAATAAGAAGGGTATTATAGTGTCCTAGCCTTTGCCTGCGGCTTCTCTCGCGTAGTAGTAAGTGTCATTATTAATTAGGTGTAGTTCTTGCGGCTTTAGTTTTGTTTAGAGTGTGTAAAAAAATAGGGCCTACAAAATCTAAGAAGATTTATACAAACTTTTATCCCCTTAGGCATGGAATTTATCAACATCCTTACTTAGAGGATGCCTACGTCATAGTAGCTTTATGCATGCAAAGTCTCAGCCCGATCGGTTTAAAATTGACAAAGTTTCATACAAACTTCATCCCACTAGGGGTAGAATTAATCAAAATCCTATTAACGGATGCCTACGTCATAACATCTACCTGCATGTCAAATATCAACTCGATCCGTTCAGTGGTTTGGGCTGTGCGTTGATAGATCACTATGTCAGTCAGTCACCTTTGAGTTATATATATTTACATTTCTGCTTTACATAATATAAAATGATTAGCTTCCGATGTCTGTTCTCTTAGATAGGGTTTTTAATGCAGCAATTTTAGCAATAGGTAGAGTGATTCGAAAGAAAGGTTTATATGTATAATACATGTACACCCACACGAAGCCGGGTAGAAATCGATATATACAATATATATCGATATATATATATTAGGTGTACATTAATTAGATATGGATAAATATTGATAATCTCAATAGTTGTATGAATTGATTTATACTTTACTCTACTTAACAATAGATGGCGTTAAATGTGACAATTTTACAATTTAGGTTATCTTTTTAATTTTTCGTAGAAACGTAGTAGGCAAAGGTAATTTATAATAAATTGTTTCTTTCTTGTTTCAGATTTCAACTCTTCTTACCTACTCCAACAAACTAAAACAAAATGTCTCTCGATCAGGTAAGGTATTATTAATTATTATTAAATAAAATGTGTCATAATGTACCTACTTATATCTAAATAGCTCTCTGGTGTTGGGAATACGTATAACAGTAGAATAGAATAGAATAGAAAATAATTTATTCAAATAAACTTAATTTAAGCACTTTTGTACAGTCATAACAATTATATTGTTAGTAGTGAGGACTGTTGACCCCATTGCTAGCAGTGTACCATGTCAGTTTGACCTCCACGCGGTTCCTCTTGGAAAACATCGTGATAATTTCCTGATTAATTTGTCACGGTGGGCTAACTGACCAGACCTCATGCTCATCTTATCATCCTTCACTGGTGCCCCGCCAGCGAAAACTGTTAGCGCAGGCGGGTGCACTATTCCATTATCATGTCTAAAAAAAACCCCATTCGGGGTATCAGCCGTGATAGTATATAATCTTACTATCTTATTAATATTATAAACGTGAAAGTTTGTGAGTATGGATGGATTAATAGAAGTAACAATATTGGTAATAGTAATAGTAATAAAGGAGCTTTCTCTCACAAGCATTTAGATTGTTAAATGAATGTATGGGATTTTTAATGGCATAATGGTACGCGTGTCTTATATTCTATCTTATAGTCTACAAAAAACACAGACGGGTAAACAAAAACAGATGACCCGAACGCTTGTTTGTTTACCAACTACATCTTACTAATTTATAAACGGGAAAGTTTGTATGAAGGATAGATAGTTTGTTGCTCTTTCACTCAAAACTACTGAATAGATTTTGATGAAACTTCACAATAATATAGTTCATATATCAGAATAACACTTAGGATATCATTTAAAAAGATATTATGTAAATTGAGCGAAATATAATGACAAATGTTAAGGGATTGTGTTGCATACAAAGCTGCACAGGTAAGCTAGTAATGAAATATTATTGATAATGTCTAATAAAAAGTGTAGGTACGTCTACGTAGATTATATTAGTTATAGATGTCTGTTAACGTCACATTTGCGTCATGATAACAGTGTATTGTTAAAAAGATTGTTTAAAAAAAAATAACAACATATTATGCATACTATGACAGGTCAATTGCGTTAACAAACGACCAAACAATGTATTAAACATTCTGATACATTGAAAATAATGGCGACAGCTGAAACTGTAAGGCTTCTATTTCGTCTGGATTAAATCGAGTTATTCTTAAAACAAATATTTGTAGTTTAATTTATATAATATTTATATGTTTACTTGAGGAGGATATTTTTCTATACTCGTCCCTGATGGGTCTGGGGAGCGAACTTTGAAAAAATCTATGTAGGTCGCAGTGCTATAGGTCTTAGCACCTGACAATATCTCAAATATATAACACTATAAAAAAATAAGTTTCTTTTAAGAAACTGAAAACTAAATCCTGAAGTGAAAGCAATAGTTAGTGAGTATGGATGGATATTTGTTACTCTTTCACGCAAAAATAATGAACAGATTTTTCTGAAACTTCACAATAATATAGCTTGTACTTCAGGAAAATACGTAACACCATCTACAGTTCCATGTACCTGGTTCAATTTTATTGCCAAACCATCGAGTAAAGAGTTGAAATATAAACAAGAAATTTCATCTAAAATGGTCCAGTCGTTTAGTAGGATTTAGGTGACAAACATACGTGCGTTTGTCACCTAACTCCTGCTAAACGTCACGCACTTTTCAACCTGAGCAAAGACAGATCGTGACGCTAGTATGTCATCAATCATTGATAAATTTTATATCAATGATTATGTCTGTAAATAGATATCTTATTTTTATTTTTTAGGGTTCCGTATTAGAATTACTGCGATAAAAGGGCCCCAAAGATAGCATAGCTTGTGTTATGGTTATTAAACTACTGACAAAAATACTTTTTTTTATTGTAAATACATATATTTATATTGCGATGTCTATGGTGCTTTACCTATATGTATGCGACGATTAAATCAAATCAAATCAAAAATAATTATTCATGTATGACATTTTAGCCTCTTATGAACGGAATTTTTCATATTAATATTTTTTACCCTACCGTCCACATACCATCAGGTGTGGCGTACATAAAAGGAAATACATAGTGTATAACATCATCGTCATTAGGATTTAATAAAATAGCAATCTATGAAATAGGATAGAATAGAATTTTATTGGTTGTATTGACACAACAATTATGACATAAAAAAATAGAAACAACAATTTATATTACACATTATACAAAATAGAGCAATGTGGACCACAACTCAGCATAATTCTTGAAACATAGTTTTCCAGCGCTGATTTTCAACTGAAAATCAGATCTACCCTTAATTTTCCAATTTATTTTATTTATTTTATATTTATTTTATTCCAGGAATTCCAACAGGTCTCCGGCTCAGTGAGGAACTGGAAGACCAGGCCATCAGACAGCGAGAACCTGGCACTCTACTCCCTGTACAAACAGGCTACCGTCGGTGATGTTAACATTGGTATGTACCTAATTATCTATTGCTAGGTCTTTTTTTAAAATTTTGCATGGGCTATAAATCTCGCCCTCAGGGTTGCTCGGTTGGATGATTGCTTACGCATTCCCGTAACCCCGACATAAGGTCAAGAGAAGGAACACCTTGGGGTTTTTAGCCGGTAAGAGTCCATCAGTATCCGTCTACCTTCCCCGGGGCGGGCGGTTATCCACGAGGATTTTCCTCAGTAAAAAAAAAGAAGAAGAAAAAAGGTCTTTGATATCTATTCTTAATTCTCCTTGGTGTGAAATTAAAACTATCAATCTATATATATAACTCAAAGGTGACTGACATAGTGATCTATCAATGCACAGCCCAAACCACTGGACGGATCGTGCTGAAATTTGGCATGCAGGTAGATATTATGACGTAGGCATCCGCTAAGAAACGATTTTGATTAATTCTATCCCCAAGGGGATAAAATAGGGAGAGGAAAATATGTCAATTTTAAACAGATCGGGCTGAGACTTTGCATGCATAAATCTACTATGACGTAGGCATCCCCTAAGAAAGGATTTTGATAAATTCCACCTCTAAGGGGATAAATTAACGCGAGCGAAGCCGCGGGCAAAAGCTAGTATACCTATAAACGAGTAAATGAATAATATCTTATGAAACGTACTGTTTCATACTATTGTCACAGTACTGTTAGCTTCAATAACAGCGTTTTACCTTACAATAAAACGCTTATTAACTGTTAATCTAATTCTAAGCGTACTTATTTGACGGCCTCAGTGGTCCAGTGGTTTAGCACACCGCCTTACTTCCGATGATCGCGGGTTCAATTCGTCGTACGATGCAAACATTTTGTATTCATGAGTATGATTATTTGTATTGATCTGGGTGTATTCTATATGTATTTTATGTAGGTATTTTATAACAAATATTTAAGTAGCTATATCACTACTACTGACATAAATCCTTCTATATTTTTTTTGTAAAACATACGTAAAACCCCATTTCATAATTGACTAGCTGTTCCAGCGACTTCGTCAGCATGGAATTTAATTTTATTTATCTAAAATAAAAGTAGCCTAAGTTACTGCTTATTACACCAGCTACCTGCCAAAAAAAGTCTCGTCAAAATCTGTCCAGCCATTTCAGAGATTAGCCGGAACAAACAGACCGACAGACAGACAGACAAAAATTGTAAAAAATGTTATTTTGGTGTATGTGTCGTATTTATATTCATATGCATGTAGTAAAAAAACGATTATTGCAATATTACAAACAGACACACCAATTTTATTTATATGTATAGATATGTTTTGATTTATCAGCTTAGTATTTTGTTGATTATCAAGGATTAATGAAGTAAAAGCAGTGATGATGTAGTTTATTTTTGCTAGAATTAACTAATAACGTAATGTCTCTAGTTATCTTCGATAAAGTTTTGCGTTATTGCTAATAATATAGATAGCCAAGTAGTTTATTTCGGATCATTCACTTTATCGGCCATCATCATATCATATTATTTTGACGGCCTCGGTGGTCTAGCGGTTTGACACACCGCTTTGCTACTGATGGTCGTGGGGTCCATTCCTCACACGGTCGTAGTAACCGCTTGACCATTGAGTTTCTCAAATTTCAAATATATTTGATTTGTATTATACAATAAAAAAGTACAAACACAATAATCAATATTTTTTATATTATTATCAATATAACAGCCTCAATTGTCTTCGATTCTATTGTTTCTTTCGGTCTGGTTGTTTTCTATGTATTTACAAAAAAAATCTAAGTATTTATATCAGTTGTTTAGTACCCATAACACAAGCTCTGCTTAGCTTGGAATAAATGGCGTTGTGTGTATTGTCCAGTGATATTACTGTTATTACCAATATTTGAAATACCTATGTCAATATATTCAATACAATCACTCATGATTAGACGCGCTACATCGCGAGTACTCCTGTCTAAAGGCAGACTAAGTTGTTTATTTTATATTTAACTTATTTGTATGGAAATATGGTTAATATAATTCTTATATATGTATATAATAAATATTGTACAAGTTAGTAATTGCGTAAGGTTATACAACGACCTGAGTCTGTTCTTAATCTGTCTGAAAAAGATTCAAATGTCATATGTCACTTTCTCTGTAAAAAGACTTATATAAAATTGAAAATGATAATAATACTTTTGTAGAAAAAACTTAAAATTTATAGCGCTGATAATATTCTCTGATTGCACTAGGAATGAATTAGTTGTTACTATTATTTTTTAGATTATCGTATGCCTCTTACTTATTATTGTGTAATTATTTATTTAAAAGAGCAACACACAAGTTTCTTGCTCATTCTTCTTGTGATTAGTCTGCGTTCCGAATGAGTGGTAGAATAAAAAAAAGTGACTATTCAATAGTGCTTGTATTAAAAATATTATTCGAATACAGATAATTTCTATTTCTTGCTCATTCCTCATTCTTGTTCACAGCTGCGCCCAGCGGTGTGGTAGAAAGCGCGAAGTTCAACGCGTGGACCGGACGTAAAGGCATCTCCCAGGACGACGCCAAGCAGCAGTACATCGACTTGGCCAAACAGCTGCAGTCCAAATACGGCTAAATTATTTTTAATTAATTTAAGTTTAGAACTTTCTCGTTACTGATCATTATTATGTATAACTATTTGTATATAAGCACATTTTTGGTTTATTAAAACAAAATTTGTTAATTTATATGCTAGTGACTTTTCTTTGAAAGTGTTGTAGCCTAGGGGTACCCAAAAAGACGTGAGTTCAAATGAGATCAATACAAAAAAGTGTGTAATTTGAATGGCCTCCGTTGGTTTAGCAAACCGCTTTACTTCCGATAGTCGCGGGTTCGAATTCTCGCACTATACAAACATTTGTATTTGTGAGTATGATTGTTTGTATCGGTCTTTGTGTCTTCAATTAATATTATATATGTATTTACCAAATAACATCTAAATATTTATATCAGTTGTCTAGTACCCATAACACAGCTCTGCTTAGTTTGGGGCGTGTTTGGTGTCGCCTAGTGGAGGACGATTTGTTCACTAATGTCAATGTCATGTAAAAACAATATAGTATAATATTAGTGGCAATGATATACGGGATTTCGTAGTAAAATTAAATAGTAACAATCTTAGGACAACTCACACAGAGATACAAATACATAGTTTTTTTTTCAGAAATATATACATATTATACCTACATAGTAAACCCAGACCGATACAAACTCATGAATACAAATATTTGTGTCGTGCGAGGAATCGAACCCGCGACCATCGGAAGTAAGATAATGTTTTAAACGGCTAGACCACCGAGGCCGTTAAATAGGTACGCTTAGAATTAGGTAAGCAGTTAAGTGTTTTATTGTAAGGTAAAACGCTGTTATTGAAGCTAACAGTACTGTGACAGCAGTATGAAATATTACGTTTCATAACATATTATTAATTTACTCGTTTGTAGGTATATTGAAGGTTTTAATTTCACTCCAAGGAAAGTTCTACTACGTAAATAGATACTAATGACCTTTGTAGCTACAGCTCGGAACGGGTGTTCGCCGTTTACTTTCTCATAATTGTCTTTTCTAATAGACGACCACCCGTAAGACTTACTTACTTGTTGAGAACGTCGTGGTCTGTTGGTTTTTACTACCCTTGACATGACATCAAAAATATCTTGGGTTCAAATGTATTTGACTCTAAAAGAAAAATCTATGTACGTCAATTTATATTCCTAATCTCCGTTGAGGAAAGGGATTGTTAGAAATGGTACGAATGACCCCATTGTTAGCAATATATTAGGTCCACCTCTACGATGTTCCCTTTGGTGACCATTGTGGTTAATTCCTGTTAATCACAATAGGTAATCTAACCTGACCTCATGCATATCCTATCACTCACCTCTGGCGCCCCGCCAGCGTATACCGGTATACCTATAATATAGGGATACATACAAAATTTCATAAGAATTGGTCAAGCCGTTTCTGAGAAGTTTTGTTATAAAATTGTTACTAGTTGACCCAGCAAACGTTATTTCCCTATTAAACAATAGGGGTCAGTGGTAAAAGGGTGACAATTTGAAGTTGTATGTAATTTTCAGTGCTAAATCATAATAAAATAAAATATTAGGTCGAAAAAAAAAATATATTTAAGGGTGGACAACTCTTATCAATAAGGGCTATGGAAAATAGATAGTAGCCGATTCTCAGACGTACACACTATGCACCTAAAATGTCACACAAATCAGAAGAGTCGTTTCGGAGGAGTTTCGTAACGAACACCGCGTCACGAGAAATATATAATAGAAGACATAAATATATATATGTGTATAATATTGGTTAGGAGGTAATTACGTATGTGTAGACGCTTTAGGGTAGAGGTGTAAGAGTTGGAACAATGGCATCGTAAGGTCACGGTCTTGATGTCAGACGATTACTTCACGGCATGAAGTGAAACACGTTGCGGCAGACAATGGTGGAAGCGTCTGATCAAATTGACATTTTTTTATAATTAGATACTACGTTGGTATCTGATCTGGCGACCTTCGTACCATTATTAATAGTTAATCAGGTCTTAACATGAATAATTTTATGTTTCTAGGATATTTACCTGTTTCTGTACCACCTCAGAATCGGTAATAAAAATATTTATCGAAAACAGTTAAAAAAAATTGTTCTACAATTATTTTCGAAAAGCGGAAAAACATACAAAATGTTTGTGTTATTGATTGTTTATTCACAATTACTTTTTCGATGATATTCTGCTAGTCGGCACACACACACACACACACACATACACACACACATTTAATCATTTATATGTTTGCAAAATACAATGTTACAAATAGGTCTTACAATATTGAATATTATGTCCAATGTATTCAGCCTGCATGCAGATGCATGCAGACGTGCAAAATTTATATACACTACACATTCAAGCTAACAATTTTATAAACTCTTTATTTTAATAAAAACTAATAAATTAACAAATCAATAGGCAGATATATAGTAAAGTTTATAATCGCGTGAAATTAATACTGCATATCAATAATAAATATATTCTTCTAGTCATTTTGAATGATTAGGGAATGAGAATTGCTTATCGTAAAGTACAGGATTTAAGAATTTAATGTAACATTAATTTTATCCATATATACCTAGTTACTTAAAACTTATTGATCGGACTACTCTAATGCTGAGTGCTGCAGCTGGCATTTACAGCTTCACTGGACGGTAGGAGGCAAGCGCAGATGACACTCCAAACCCGCGGAAGGACTTATGGAGCGGCTGAAGGCAAACTCCCGCCTGACGGACGCCTGAGGCTCAAGTCGTTGTAATTTCGATCCCCGTTTGAATTGAACGGGGATTGATCGGAGGGGATATATCATTTGTCATCACAGCTGTTTGCAAGAAAATAACACCGTATATATAAAAAAATTAAGATATCTGTTTAAAAATATAGTTACATAATATGTAGAACACAATCTCACACAATCACAAGCTTCTTCATTTTCGAAAAAGCATTTCGGACTGTCATATGCTATTTTAATTTAATCTTATAAATTGTGTACCTATATTTATCAATAATAATTCAAAGTGCATAAATGATCTTGTTTGACTTCCAACTGCATTAATCTGATAAGAAGTTAAGTATAGATACACATGAGTTGTAATTATTGATAGCAATTAAAATAATTAAGTAGATAAGTTACACAATACGGATTTAACTTAATCGACACAATTTTGGAATGAGGTAGCTACTATCCAAAAATGTTAGGTTAAAAAAAACTTTCATCTATACAGATTATATTAGATAGAATTAGATATGTAGATGTTATAACCACCATGTTCATATTTATATATGTACTTGTTTATTAAAGTTATACTACATAGTATAAAACAAAGTAGCTGTCGCTGTCTGTCCGTCCCTATGTATGCTTAAATCTTTAAAACTACGTAACGGATTTTGAAGCGTTTTTTTTAATAGATAAAGTGATTCAAGAGGAAGGTTTATATGTATAATATATGTACACCCGGACGAAGTCGGGGCGAGTAGCTAGCAATAATTAAATTATATATAACATAACATATACTTATATTTATAGTAGGTAGTCTTCATTACATTTTTCATGTACCTTAGTAATGGCAACACAGGAGTGCTAGAACGTCAGATAACAACTCAATGTTTGTGATTCTGTTAATACACATGTATATAGCAGATATTTGCCATCTACCATCAGGTGGAACAGTTTGTTTGCCTTTTCAATTTGACATAACTCCCTAATAGCCATGATTCAAAACCATAAACTCAGATGCCAATTTTTAAACCTAAACATCTGTACCTACGTGTACATACCCACTTGTCTATAACTTACATCCGTTTCATCATTGTGGTAATAACGTCCACGTCATAGCAGTGTGTTGCTCTTCACCTTGCTCAGAGGGTGATGAGTAATCTAAGTAAATCCTTACTAATATTATATATAAATGCGAAAGTAACTCTAACTAACTATATGTACAGACAATGACTGTCTGTCTGTCATGCTCTCACGCCAAAACCGATTTAAATGAAATTTGGTACACAGATAGTCTAGACTCTAGGAAGGATATAGGTTAATAATAATGCGAAAGAAGTTGTTAGAGCAACTCGTCACAACCTTTTCTTCGCATCAAAAGAGCATATGAAAGTTTATGAAAGTATTTTAATATATAAAATATTTGTAATTTTATAGATAATAATAATAATAATAATCTCAAGACAATTCACACAGCGTCATTTAGACCCAAGTTAAGTTAAAGCTTGTGTTATGTGTACTAGATAACTGATATTATACATAGAAAACATCTAGACCGACACAAACAATCATACTCATGAATACAAATGTTTGTACCGAGCGAGGAATCGAACCCGCGACCATCGGAAGTAAGGCAGTGTATTAAACCACTAAACCACCGAGGTTGTCTAGTGACAGAAGCTTAACTATGACATAAAAAGTTTGTTAAAAAATTACCGCTAAAGTAATAAGGTCATGGAAGTTGTATTGTTTGTATAGAAATTCGTCATTTTGAAAGCTAGAACGATGGAACTGTTTCTTTACTTTTTTGGGTTATTATATGATTATTATATATTTAATGCAATGTAAGGTCACTATTTCAAGGACGAAGTCGCGGGCACAGCTAGTTAATGATAGACACAGACAGCACATAACTGACGTGGGTTTCTTCTATTGGACATACTGAATTATCAGCATCCTTGTAGCTATCAACAAGAACTGTCAGAGATTTGATAACAGTATGTACTACATGCAAAAGCATATATTGGTTCGTATAGTGTTTCTATTCAATAAAAGAGTTTATGGAAAACTAAAATGAAGGATAAACAAAATACAAATTAACATATAAATAACTTAATAAATTACAATCTTAATAATAATATTATAAACGCTAAAGTTTGTGAGTATGGATGGATGTTTGTTACTCTTTCACACAAAAACTACTGGGCCGATTTTGATGAAACTTTATAGTGATATAGCTTATACATTATAATAACATACGATATGATTTATAAAGATTATATGTGAACAGGGCGAAATATAATGATAAATGTTAAGGCAGTGGGCTGTAGACGAAGTTACGCGGGTCAGTTAGTAACTATATAAACTATCAATAATTTAATATTTTTAAATTAACTTTAAGATTTGTGCACTTGATAGAAGCAGATTTTGTAAGGGCCATATTTTTAATTACATCATATATTTACATAATGTACCCAAAATGCTTAAAAAAAAATTATTGTTTTGGTATCGTACTGTCTTTGTGGTATGTTACACTGAATACCTAGTCGTGAAATGGGTTCGATTCTATTTTGATCTAAATAATCATTATTAAATTACACTCCCTCATGACTTTGGTCGGTTTAAATAATGTACTTGGAGGAGTATGACTTATAACAGTAATATGTTCTACATATTCAAATATATTATTATGACTTATAATAATATATTTGAATATGTAGAACAAGTTAATTGTTATTCCCTCTATATTTTGCATAGACGCCAAAAATAATGTTTTCTATCAGACACAAAACAAGTTCTACTTAGCATTGATATCGATATTATCAATTTGTTTATGGTACGGAACCTGAAAAAGTTGTAGATAGTCATTCTGAAAAATAATACATATTGGATAATGAATAGATATGTAATTCAAAATAATTTTTAGTAGGTATCTGGCTAGCTTTCGTAAAAACAATAACTTATATGGTAATAATATTCAATTATATGAGAACAATATTCGACTTAATCTAATAACTAGGATTAAAGCAGATAAATATTAATATATTTTTAGCGACTATGATAGGGCCGTAATATTTGTATAGAGTGTTCGTCTGGTATCAGCGGCAGGAAAAGGGCGATAAAAGGATGAGTCCAGTAGTGGCTTTGTATAAACGTGTATTCTTGTATTATTTACAGAGGTTGAATAATATATTGATATTATTCATATACAGAAAATAAGTTGTATCAGAAAAGAAAAGATTCGGTCCACTCTGACGGCTAGTTATTTTAGTCTTACAACGTCGCTAGGCAACGGTGTTGCCGCGCTCTATCCGTAGATTCGCCACATATTGATAAGGTGTAAAGGTAAATTTATTGAGCGTATTTGGTAACTGATCATCATCTGCGATCCTAAGAACAATAAGTATAATTTATCTTTTCTTGTGTTCTTAGAAACAACTCACAATAACTGGCAACACTGATCAACTCTGACAAACACTCAGTAAACGGCCGAAACCCACTAGTATCCAGAGCCGTAAAGAGTAGCAAAATATTTTACAAGTATTTTAAAAGAAATATATTTCCATAGCGAATAATTTTATTATTATTATAAAACATTTACTTTTCCAATACAATTACTAATTTAACAGTGATAGTTAAGAAATTCAAAACATAATTCACACTTGGATATTAGTTGTCTGTCGTTTATAACTACGTCAGCGAAGATTCGAGTGAGGTTAGTCTCTTACAAGTATTCATAAGCTTCGCTTGTGACCACTTGTCTTTTTTAACGTAAGTGCCGGCATCTCAATTCATAAATCTTACTGCTATATTGTTTCATTTTCTATAAAATGCATTTGTAATGGTTCATGATTAGTTTAAACTCATCAAACTATCAATTCGAAATATAAGTTATCTTGTTTATTTAATCTTGTTGCTATCGGTATATTTTGGTGATAAACTGCTACGTCATTTTAGGTTTAAGCGATGATTTCCTGATAAACATATTTATTATTTTATTTTAGGTACCATATACCGAATTCAATATGTCTCTACAAGAGGTGAGTAATAAATTATTCATATTATTACATATATAAAACAACAATATTTTTTTATCTAAGTTAATGGAACGTCGCACCCGTCTGTGCTAACGGTATATACTGGCGGGGCACCAGTGTAAGATGAGAAAGAGTATGTATTCAGTTCAGTTAGTACATCTTGGTGAAGTTATCAGAATATAGCCATAATGGTTTCCAGAGCGACTGCATGAAGGTCAGCCCAATATGGTACATTGCTAGCAATGGTATTTATTACTAGATCACATCATTAACAATTACTAGCTATTATCTGTCTATCCTTCAGCTGAGTATTACGAGTTCAAAGTTCAAAATTAACATTTGTTACTGCACAATTACTCTTTGACTGGAATATACATATATTCTGGCCTTTATCATGGTCACCCAAGCGTGGTGTACTATATATATAAATATATATAAATACAGAAACCTTATCAAAATATAGATAAAAAATTCTTTTTTAATTGTAAAAGAGGCCTATTCCAAAACGCAAACAGGTTTTAAATGTACCTACAGATAATTATGAGGTACTTTAATGATATGTAATTAGTATCTATATGAAAGACATTATTATTATTTTTAACTATTTACATATAATTTAGGCTTTATTATTATTTAGGCTATTATTATTATTTAACATTAATAAAATTTGAAAAAAAAAGGCAAACTTAATGAAACAGGCATAGTCTGCAAGTCAACCTTCGGGAAGTGCAGAGGCACTTGAAGATGGCTCAACATTGAATATGCAAATTATTATATTGACTCTAAAATTAATATAAAAATATCTGGTGTCGCCATCAGATAATTTTCTGCTATAGGGTACTCTATGGTTAATTGAAAATAAATTAGTAGGTACTTAAGTATGAACTGATTGTGTTAATATTCTATTGTTTATGAAATTGAATAGGTATAATTAAATGCTATAATAATAATCATTAGATTTATTATCTATAAAACCTGATATCTAAATGCTAATGAAGTTTGTCTAAGAAATAATTTTATCTCTTTTCTCATGAATTTATAGTCTCTTCTTAAAGTCTTTTGGTATTTAGGCATAATAATTTGTTTTTATAGTATAATATTGGACTAGATTAGTAATATATCAGAGCACATTATTAAATTGAAACACAATACAATTAATAAATACCTATATTTATGAATTTCAAACACCATTTGTTTGAAATCAATAAATATAGGTATTTATTATTAATTGTATAAATAGATTTCAATTAATATATTTTGCAGGCATACTTTTTCTTTATTTTTCCCCTTATTCTAAGAACTTTAAAAATCAATGTTAAAGCAAATAGACTAACTATATTTTATTATATGATAGAAATACATTAAATAGTTTATTAAGGAGCATTAATAAAAATGTACATAAAAATAAATACATAGAATATTAACTATAAATGCTTGTATTTTGTTGGACAATATTATCATGTCTGAGAGAGACTTCACAAAAGAAGGACTTACATATTTTTTTAATAAGTATATTATATGATATTTAAACATAGACAGGCTCAAATGAAGCAAATTAATTTTTCTGTGGTTTTATTCTTTTTATTGAGTGGTTTGGGCTATTATCAAGTCCTTTAGACCTGTAGCACTGCAATTTACATAGATCCGTTGTGCTCACCCTTTTTTTGGTTTAGGTACTAACATATTATAATTACTTTTATAAAAAAAAAAAAAGTTGTGTGTCGACTACACACATTTAGTATAGTTTGGTTGTAGTTTAAATGCACTGTTGAGTAGTGTCATGTATAAACTAATAGTTAAAATTATCTTATCATTAGATAGCGCTATTTGTGCAATAAGTAATGAGTGTTACAGCAACAATCACAAAAAAATATAAGTGTAAAGAATGTAGAAGACTGTACTTACTACAAGTCTGATAAAAAAAATTGAAAAAGAAAGGTTTATGTAGTATTTTTACCAGATTTCTAAAACGTGGATGTAATAAAAATCGACTGCATTTTTTTGTTGCCTATGTTTTGTGTATGCTACTCGATCTTTCTCAATTTTGCACTGATTTTGATGATTCTTTTTGCAACCAGTAGAGTTTACTCCGATTTGATCTTACACTAATTTAATGAAGCTTGTCCGATTTCTTTTATGAAAAAATTGTATGGTATGGGTGGATGTATCGGTATGGAAAAAACCACCAATTATCGATAACGCTACTGGCCTGGCATTGAAATAGTGGGCAATCAAGTCGATAATGAATGTTTAGCATATCTAATGAGACAGACGTACTTAGAAACCATGTGAAATTACTTGTTTGGTATGTAATTTTATGTGTCTCCTATAAAAACAGTACTACAAGTACATACTTACATGGTTACGTTAACTTTGTACTTTAGTATTTTTTTTATTGAGGGTTTTAGGCTGTTGTCAGGTGCTTGGATCTGTAGCACTGCGACCTACATAGATCTATTGTGCTCGCCCTTTTTCGGAGTTCGCTACCTTGCCCCATCAGGGTCAAGAATTGAAAGATAGAATTAGGAGCGTTATTTTTATCCTCTAAGGATAGATTGTATACTTTCCAAAGGATGGCTTATTTAATAGAATGTGTAGTGGCGTTTTCTCTTCAGCTTGGCAAAATCTGCAGATTGTTGAACACAAGCCTAAGTTTGCCATATGTTTATTAAATTTGGGGGATATTGTGAACGTAATAGACGCTAAAATAATAGCAAGTTTGGGCAGTGCGTTTGTGCTCGATAATCTCAGACACATCTTAATCAATTTCGATGTGGTACATTAATGTATTATGTTAGGCTTTACTACAAATTTAGTGTTATTCAAATCGGTTTACAAACAAGAAAATTATAATGATACAAAGTAGTTATCTCTGCTAGTGTAATGGAATATTTTTCATGTTTTTTTACTTGTCATATTTGAGCGCAGACAGCATTTGCATTTTTTCTGTGGTTTGTGTCTATGACAAACAACATGTCACCGTTCATGTTCTTTCAAATACTTTGGGTCGCGAACTCGCGACTTATAAGATATTTTTAGTTCCCAATTTTGCTTTTAGAAATCGAATTTTAAAAGTCTCTGACTATCGTAATTTCGTTCTACTCATATATTGAAAAAATTCTAGAATTTAATTATTTGATAAAGTCGATATTCGAAAGTTAAAAATCCAAACGTATGATTTTTAAATTTCAAATATTGATTATCATAATTTTCTTTATTACTGAATATACTCGTGTATCCAGCAGGCGAACTTCAATTATCTCGGCTAAGTGAAATTACTGTACGAGATAGCTGTAACGCTTTATGCTTGATATCGATCGATAATAGACTATATTCCAAAGTGTTAAAGAAAAATTTTGCTTAAACATTGTAATAATCCAGTTCCGCATATAAATGGTCGCTTTCACATACCGAAAACGGTAACAATGGTAGCCATTAAAATTTACATTTATGTTGCAAATTTGCAACTGTAATGTGCAGAGTAGCATCATGGGTTTGTTGGTTTAGTAGAGACTATTTTATTTAAAGCATAATTTTAATCGATCTGATAGGATAAGGATGACCTCATTTTCAATCAGTTCAGTGATATATTCCCCAGGAAAAATCACCAGGATCTACCCATGATTGTTTAACATTAGGATCGGTTGGAGTTCAAATCAAAATTCTAAATGTTTTTATTCATGTAGTTCCATTACAGACTCTTATGATATGTCAAATCTACCATCAGTTTGGAATGATTTCGAGGTAAAAACTGAGCTCATATCATATTCTTTTCAAATAAATGTCATACATGTTTACAATAATACAAATTCATTTTTAAATTCAAATTAAGGAGAAAAGAGTGACCACCAGCATATGTTATTCCAAAAGCAAATAGTCTAATCAGTATTCGTAACCCGAACTGATATGGTACGAGTAAGTATATCTATAGCAATGGGGCCACTTCTCTACATTATTATCAATCCACTCCCCCTGCTTGGGGCATCGGTAACGCACGAGACAACATCGTGACATCCCGCTTTCGTTTCTCGGCAGAGATAATTTAGGACAATCTTTTATGAATACGCTTGAGTCGAGGCTATTGTGGGTTGTTACAGTTTAATTTGTTGCTTGATAGTACAGTGTAATATTAATGGATGATAATGGAATGGTGCAGCCGATTGCTCTAACAGTTTACTCTGACGGGGTAGCAGTAGAGGATGATAGTTATCCCAACGTGGCAAATTCACCAGAAATTTAGCACGATGGTTAAATTTCTCCCGATAGTTTCCAGGGGAAACCTAACGGAAGGACAACCTGACATGGTACATTGCTAGCAATAATGTCATTAGTGGACTTTAAATACAAGGTAACCCAAGCTACGGTTCGAGCGAAAAGTTATGCTTTCTAATTCTCAATATTGTCTATAGTATTGTAGTTGTTGAAGATCTAACGCTGGTGAAATACTTATTATAAGTACACCACATATATTTTAATTGAATCACTTTCACTATTAATGAAGAAAGAATTAAGAAGAAATTAGAATTAGGTAGAAATAGTAGATTTATTTTTTTTATTTTTCGTTCGACATTGATCACGTCACCGCGTCGTTTTTTTCAGGGGTTAAAATATATTGGTTATTTTCTACTTAATTTCCTGAGATAATTTAAATAGGTTTTGTATGATTTATACTATAATTGCCATGCGGCTTGCTATTGAATTTACGATTTTGATAAATCAAAAAGAAAAGTGACCCATGTCAACGAAGTTTTGTATATTATGTTTACCACGGTTCTTCCAATACTTTTCGTTGATTTTCTATCTGTAATGATGTACTTCTAAAGATTCATTCCTGATACTTAGAATGTATATATTTGTTAAAACATTTAGCTATTCTATCTTAACAAATAAAAACTTAATTTTTGTTCAAAATATGCTGTACATATTTGGTGATTTATTTAGCGAGTAATTATTTACACAGTCGCATGACCGTCGGATATTTCCTGATGACATACATTATTGAAACCATATGGTACTTTACCGATTCATGACTTCACGTCTTAACTAACTCTAAAAATGGAGAATGTTATGTTTTCTTGATGTATTCTATTAAAATGTTTATGGCAGCTGAGTTTCTTGTCAGTTCTTAGCTCAAAAGCACTCCGAACTGATTTAAAATATCATGAGAGTCTGTATTGGACATAGTTGAATACATTTATTTTGATTTTGTTTTTATTTTTAATAACTATGTATGGGAATTTGATGTTACTCTTAATGCTTCACGATAATTGTTTCTACTTCATCCTATTTTATATTGTATTCATACAAGTGTTGTATTAATATTTTTAAACAAACCTGAACACAATTACTTTTATGGTAAACAAAGGTATTTACTTCTTGAAGTTTCTACTAAGTTGCACTAGCCTTGGCCAGTCAGCTCGTCAATGTAACTGACGTATATTAAACACGACAGTTTAAAAATAACTGAGTGTATTTTTATACATAATTTATTTTTTATGCGCATATTTATTTCATTGTCTATAGAATCGCTGATGTTCTAAAAAGGAAACCCATTTACTCATATGCTATTGCATAAGTTTAAATAATCTGTATTGTATACTATTTGTAATTATGTGTTTGTACTAAGATACAAGTAAAAAATCCTATCTATCTATTTCTTTTATTGGATTGTTTGGACTATTGTCAGGTGCTTGAATCTGTACCACTGCGACCTACGTCGCACACAGATTCAAGAAAAAGGGCGAGCACAGTAGATCTATGTAGATAGATCTACTGTGCTCGCATTTTTTCTTTATTTATCTATATATCTAAAGATTTTTAGAACACTACAGATAAAGTAGCAATTCCATTGTTTTTCAGCAATTCGACAAAGCTGCCGGTGACGTCAAGAAACTGAAGTCGCTTCCCGGTGACAAGGACCTCCTAGAGCTGTATGCCCTGTTCAAACAGGCTACAGTCGGAGATGCCGACCCTGCCAGTAAGTTGAATGATCTATTACTAAATACTCATCAAAATTATTAAAACTATTAAATCAAAACTATTAGTTTAATAATTAAATTCAATTGAGTTTCTTGCCACTTCTTTTCAAATGAAACTACACTGAACTGGACGATTGGGAAATTATTAATTTTAAAAATTTGATGTCCATAAGAGTCTAAAAGGTCCTGCAACATAATTACGTAGACAAATAAAACAAAAATCCTATTCTAGCTTCTTGGATACGGAACCATAGATAATTATAATAGTGGCAACACGGAACCTAATCGATTAAAGAAAATAATATATATTTTTATATCCGTATATATATCAGAATAGATAAGGCTACACCGCTTTTAAAATCAATCAGTGTCAAATACTAACTATCTAAGTACCTTTGTATAAAACAGTAGTTTAATAAAACATTCCATAACAATATGATGATATCTTGAATATGAAATAGCGTATAATAGATATACGGTATCTACTGGGAAGTAATTGTGGAGACAGTATTCCAAAGCCGAAAAAGTAGTTATCGCCTGTAATATGCATGGTTAGCGACTAAGATGGAGCCGCCAGTATTTTTTTTACTTTCGGACTTCTCTAATGCTGTTGGCCGCAGCTGGTCTCTTCAGGACGATAGGAGGCGAGTGCAGTTGGCACTCCAAATCCGCGGGAGGACTTATGGAGTGGCTGAAGGCTAAAATCCCGCCTGATAGTTACGACTTTAGTCTCAGGGCACTGCTAGGGGTTCAAACCTCGGCTCACGCCTATACAATATAAAATGTATTTCAATATTCGTATCAGTTGCCAGCACCCATAACACAAACCCTGCTTAATTTGGGATTAAATGATGCTGTATAAATTTCTCAGCGTCATAATTATACCTATATTGTTATTATACCTTGAGAGCGTCATAATGTGGGCTAACCCGACCCAGACTCTAATGAAACCCTATTAACGTACACAAAGTTTGCAAATCGAACCCGCGTCCTTCGGAAGAAAAGCAATACGCTAAACTGCTAAACCACCGTGACCGTCACAGTCAACATTGGTTTAGTCTGTGTTACAGAGATGGTCAGAGATGTCAGAGTAGATGAAATAATTAAAAAATAATCATTGTCTAGTAGCCGAATAGTCAACACTAGGCTTCCAAAATATATCGAGGTCTATGTATTACTGCATTACTTGATGACATGCCCCGTTCAGAGTGGTTTGCCTCTGCGTTTCGCAATATGAACGTTGATTCAATAACGGTCGGAATTTGATCACTAATAGAGAAGGTCGTAACGCTTCCAGTAGCCGTGGTCTGGTTTCCGCACTGAATATTTGTGGTCACATGCTAATGGTAGTGGAATTAAACAAAATAATATAAATATGTTAATTTAGTTACCACAATTCATCTTGTTTTTGGGTATATTGTTCAATTCCACGATGAGTATATTTCACCTTTGGCTTTTCCATTTATGACTCACTCCGACTTAGAGATAACGGTCTTAAGTTTTTGACAGTAACTCAAGCATTGTGAATAACCAAGCGTTATTTTTGTGAATAAATAGAAATCAGAATAAAGTACATACACCTTATTAATATTATATTTGCGAAAGTGAAGTGAGTATGGATGGACGTTTTATACTCTGTGTCATGCAGACACTACTGAACGCATTTTGTTGAAACTTGGCGGTGATATAGCTTATACAACAGAATAATACATAGGCTATAAATTTCATGCGGATGAAACCATGGGCACAGCTACTAACAAATAAATTAGTCATTTAAAAAACATTCTGGAATACCAACTTTGATGTCTTGTTCCGAATGCCTATAAGGTGTCCATAAATTACGTGAGGTGTTTTTTTTTTAATTTTATGTACCTCTCTCCCTCCTTGGTGAGATGTCGTGAGATTATATTCAACCCATCCCCCAATCTCACCTGAGATTTTTCAAAATGATTTGTCTTACAAAGACACGTTCGTCGCGCGTTCGGCTGACAGTGGCGTGAAAACAAAGGTGACGGACTACACTGTACCATAAATTCAGATTTGAGCTATTTGGTATAAAACAAATATGGTGGTTTGACAGTTAGTATATGAATAACGTTGAAGTATGAATGAAATTATTTTCTTTCGAACGAATTAGCGAATGATCTTAATCGTATTACGATTATGCTTAAATGTTAAGCATGTACTATCTGGATTAAATGGACCAAAATAGTATAATTCTTTGTTGTTTCAATAAAAAAAACAATTGCGTGATATTTGCCGAGACCCTCTCTCCAACGTAAGATTAGATGACATTTGACTCGACCCCCTCCCCCTTCTAAACATGTCACGTAATTTATGGACGCCCCCTAAATAGAAATCATTATAAACGTAACAACGTACATAACAAATAAATTTGCAATTTCAAAAACAAACTGGATTACCAACTTTGATATCTCGTTCTGAATACCTATAAATAGAAATAATAATAAATGTAAATACATAACAAATAAATTTGCCATTTAAAAAACAAACTGGAATATCAACTCTGATGTCTTGTTCTGGAATTCGTTTCTTTCTAACTGTAGAAGTTGCGATCTTTATTGATGAATCAGTCTGTGACTCCTTCATACTTTACTAACATTATTTATTTGTTTCGAGAAACTTTATGGTCAATACAATATATGACCAACATACATATATACATATAAATAAAATTGCAGTGTCTGTAATATTGAAATAACCGTTTTTTACTATATGCACCATATGAATATAGTAAAAAACGGTCGACAATCGAATCGAAATAGGCGACAGTTACGCCATTCGCCATCAGGTGTGCGTTGGCTTGTATGTCATTCTGATTATAAAAAAATACCGAATACACGTGGGTAGCGCCGCGGGAGACACCCAGTATATGAAGGGTAATATATAACGATAGACAGTGTAGATATTAATAGGTAATTATAACAGTTATCACGTATGTACGATAACAGGAAAAATAAGTACGCAATTGTACCATTTTAAATTTTGATGTTTTGTATTAGTGATAAGATACATATTTCGTGTTAAATGCCACAGTTTTCTAGTCAGCGCTGATAAATTTTATTATAGTGTTTTTAATTCAGGCATCTATACGCTACGGTACCGTTTACCATGAGACGGATAGTCAAATTCAAATTGCCCACCGGTGGGTCACCCCGCAACGAAAGTAAATTTACACGTTGGGACAGGATGATCACCCGTGGACACTTTAATTGAAATAAATCTAGGGGTTAAATAATGTCTACCACAAATTATTATTATAAACTAAAAACATATTTAGAAAATAATATAAGTAATTAACAATAAAAAATGTCGGTCCCTATGTGAGAAATAAGATTATTCAATGTCGTCTTCGTGATGCGGATTATTCAACGTGTTAAATTGTTATGAAGTTATTTATTATTTGTTTATTTCTGTTCTCTATAAATGTTCATAAAATGTATAATATACTCGTAAATTTAAAATGTTGGCTTGAAAAGTATAGGCTAACTATTTTAATTAATGTTTCATGGCAATTATTTAAAGTTTTTTAAAATCTATTGAAATATGTAGGAAGGATTTGATACAATTACCATCAACGTAGCATCAAGTCGGTTTCATATAATTTTAGCGGTTTGGTTTTTTTTTTATTTAAACCCGGATATTAATTTCCAGGTATTCTACAGGATTTATTGGCCACATTTCTTAATTCTTACAGACTACTTAGGGATATAATGTCGGTCCCTATGTGAGAAATAAGATTATTCAATGTCGTCTTCGTGATGCGGATTATTCAACGTGTTAAATTGTTATGAAGTTATTTATTATTTGTTTATTTCTGTTCTCTATAAATGTTCATAAAATGTATAATATACTCGTAAATTTAAAATGTTGGCTTGAAAAGTATAGGCTAACTATTTTAATCAATGTTTCATGGCAATTATTTAAAGTTTTTTAAAATCTATTGAAGTATGTAGGAAGGATTTGATACAATTACCATCAACGTAGCATCAAGTCGGTTTCATATAATTTTAGCGGTTTGGTTTTTTTTTTATTTAAACCCGGATATTAATTTCCAGGTATTCTACAGGATTTATTGGCCACATTTCTTAATTCTTACAGACTACTTAGGGATATAATTTAAGGGATTTTACTTATACATTGCTTCTACTTAAAACTATTTCCACTTTTTATTAGTGGTTTTGTTGCTACAGCTCTATTGACTAATGTTTAGGGTTAAATTCCTTTATCTCATACATAATTATCTTTTTTTTCCAGACAAACCCGGCTTGTTAGACCTCAAGGGCAAAGCGAAATTCGAGGCGTGGAGCTCTAAGAAGGGCACCTCAAAGGAAGACGCACAAAAGGCCTACATTGCCAAGGTGGAGGGCCTCGTCGCATCCATCGGTCTCCAGTAATCAAATCTGACTGTATCTCATAATTGTCCGACACATCGACTGAAATTGCCGTAACTAATTTAGAACCTTATGTCGATGGTAAAAAGTACTCGAATAGCATTTCCACTATGCGTGTCGGCGATTATATGAATTATTTTTTTTAATGAGCGGAACGCAGGGTGTATCAGGCACAATTGTCTTTGGTTGTGTATATTTGTCGTTACGAGAGAAAGTAAATTGATATTTGACTTTCGAATGGCCGATTGTCGCGTCTGTGGCCTCGTTTAAATTTGGAATTGTCGAATGTATTCAAATGAACAGCCGTCCGACTCATTAAAAACGCTCTATTTATTTATGGTATAGGATTATATTAGTTATTATTAAGCGAATGTCATCACAATTATAAAGTAAGCGTAACTTTTGCTACATAATTTTTGTACACAAGTCCTGGTGCTCTTACGTATTTTCTTTAATATATTGCGTTTTTTTGTTATCCAGTTTTTTATACAAATACATGAAATAAATCTGTTGGGAAATTAAATGTTTTTATTTATTGTATTGGGCCTTTACATACTACACCTATGAATTCTCACTTGTCTATATAAATATAATATAAAGACAGCGGATTTTATTATACGGAAAATAAATTAATAAAGCACTGCATTGATTTGAGGAATTCTCTTACTGTTAGAAGTAATAATCTCAACCTATTCAACTGAAAAAGTTAAAAATAGTGTCTGGGAATTACTATTTTAGATTACTTTTGAATAGAAAGCCGTATCAAAACGCATATCTAACTATATGAAAAATATATATTTTCTCACTTACCTTGTACGAGCAATAAAATTCCATTCTAATGAATACTAGAAAAAATAACATAGAAAAGCAAACAATAATTTACATCACAACAGAGTCAATTTGGACCACAGCTCAGCATAGCGCTGATTATCAATTTTTTAACACACCGTAGAATGTCAGAATTTATCAGCATTTTTTTTAGTAATTAAACGGTATGGTGTGGTCAAGACAGGTTACATACCAAGAACATACCATACCAAACCAAGAACAATTCTGACATTGTCAAGCGCCATCTAATCCCAAGATAAGGAGAGCTTATGTTATGGCATGGTGCGAGGAATCGAACCCGCGACCGTTAGAAAGTTAGGTGGTGTGATAAATCGCTAGAACAACGAGGCCGTCAAAACTCTGTGGCGCATCTTGTCCAGGTCGGCCCTACAGTTGTTTTGATGTAATCCGACCATCTGGAAGTTAGTCCGCCTACGCTTCTGCTTCTCATCCTAGGTCGTCACATTAATGATCTTACTAGGCAGTACTTCTATACCCTGATATATCACTGGCATATCTCACCCTCCTATCGATTACGTGACATCCTTGATGTACTCTATGTACCTATATAGGCCAGGGGCACATTTCACCCAGACGGGGCATAGTGGTTAATGCTGCCGGGGCACTAGTGGAGGATGATAAGATGAGCATGAGGTCAGGTTAGTTAGCCCAACGTGACAAATTCACCAAGAATTTATCACAATGGTTTCCAAACCGCGTGGAGATCAACCTGATATGTACATTGCTAGCAATAAGATCATCAGTCCACATTACTAATAATCCCCTTTTCCCCCCTCCTATTGTTTTCTTTTGAGGATGATAATGGAATGATGCACCCGCCTGTGCTAACGGTTTACGCTGGCGGAGCACCAGTGGAGGATGATAGGATGAACATGATGTCAGATCAGTTAGCACAACGTGATAAATTCACCGGAAATTTATCACGATGGTTTCCAGGGGGAACCGCGTGGAGGTCAACCTGACATGGTACATTGCTAGTAATGGGATCATTAGTTCACATTACTGACAATCCCCTTCCCCCCCCTCTCCTATTGTTTACGTGACATCCGTCACGTACTCTATGTATATAGGCCAGGAATACCACTTTCCACCATTCATGTCATCATCATCAATCAGGTCAGCTTGACTACAATACCAAAATGGTTATACGAACTCTGTCACGTACCACCCAGCCAAGCCGAGTGTTTCACTGTTTATCTGATAAAATTACAAGAATTCAGGTCAATGAGAATTATACAATAGGTCTTGATAAGCGACTGAATTACAAAATCGGTATTCCACACGATCATCATAGATGACCCGTTGAACTTCATATTACCTACAGCATATTTTATTATATGCAAGTCCTCTCCGATCGATCCCCAGTCCAATTCAAACGGGAATCAAAATTACGACGGTCTGAGCCGAGGTAACTCCTAGTGGTGTCCTCAGACTAGTCGTATCCGTCAGGCGGAAGTTGGCCTTCAGCAGCTGCATAAATACTTCCGCGGGTTTGAAGTGTCATCTGCACTCGGAATCGTCCTGAATCGTCCGGTGAACCTGTTATAATATCAAGTGCTCGCCCACTTCATTGTTAATTAAATAATTTTCATAGCTAATGATAGTGCAGTGTTAGAAATTTGAATTATTATTTAACATTCAGACTATAGACAAATATTTAAAGATAATTGTTTGTCTTAATCCATTTTCAATTTGACCACAGACTAACAACAAACAAAAGAGTATGTTGCGTAAAGTAAAGAGTATGCGTGTGTCTTAAATACATAGTAATGTGTGTAATTTTTTTATTGAATTAATGTATTAGTTCTGCATAGTTTAAAAAAAATAAACATTCTGCATTCCTTCTCTATATAAACTACTAGATACTCGTCCCGGCTTCGCCCAGGTGTACATGTATTATACGTGTAAACCTTCCTCATGAATCACTATCTATTTAAAAAACCGCTTCAAAATCCGTTGCGTAGTTTTGAGTTTAAAGATTTAAGCATACATAGGGACGGACAGACAGTGACAGCGACTTTGTTTTATACTATGTAGGAATGATAAGTGTGCAAAATTTTATACTCCACTATCCACTCAATATTACACATTAATATTAAATTAAATTTAAATAAAAATTAAATTATAAACATTGTAAAAATGAGTAGGTACCTATAAAGTTCTTACTTCACGTATTAATATATAGATAATATACATACGATATAAATGGACTATAATAATAATATCAATACGAATGAATCAGAAATTTATTACTAACTATGATACCAATGACTCAAATTTTATAATATTACGACTTTACGATTTTTCTTAAAACTAAGAAGTTTGAATAACCCGTAGGATTATAGTTGAGTCATAAATATAGATTGTCCATATAAGATAGTGCAAGACTTTATAGATATTAAAAATGTGTCATTCACTTAAATATTATTAGAAATTAAACTCGACATTACCTTCGATTCCTTATATTTAGCTGTATTATGCGGTAATTCTCGCATCAATCAGGGTCTTATGGATGATAATGGAAGGCCTGCGCGGTACACGTAACGGTTTACGCTGGCGGGGCACCAGTGGAGGATGATGGGATGAGCAAAAGGTCAGGTCAGTTAGCCCATCGTAAATACACCATGAATTTATAACGATGGTTTCCAGGGGGTACCATGTGGAGGTTAACTTGACTTGGTACATTGCTAGCAATGGGATTATTAATCCACATTACTAACAATCTTCTCCCCCACATGAATCTGGGAGTAAGTAGTCTTAACTGTGATACGATCCGTGTAAATAATTTCATTACGATTAGCTTACGCCGTTTGAGATTTATTAAGTAAAAGAATTCTAAACATTTTGAAATACTTTCACTTTTGAAGTATCTTTTTAGGGCAATTCACATAGCACCGTATAGTCTCAAGCTAAGCAGAGCTTATGTTATGGGTACTAGCCAATGGACATAAATATCTACATAGAAACATTTTTGTAAATATAAAAGAAAACACCCAAACGGATACAAATAATCATACTCCTGATTGCAAATGTCTAAAATCAGCGACCATCTATGAAAATCTCTGTGCTAAACTGCTAGACCATCAAACACCGTCAGATTGGATGATATGCTATGGTGGAATATAAAATATGAAATGATAACAGTTCTCGGGAACTATATGTGTTGCGCGAATACTTCTAGAACTAAAGGATAAGGTATAAATAAATTATTAGACCTGCCGTCCTGTATGGGTCTGAATGTTAAACACATGCTACACATGTGTACATATGTAGCACAGATACGAAAGTTGAGATGGATGTGTGGAGTAACCAGGAATGACGGTTATTTTTAAAGATGATGACGAAAGATTTTTCATCTTTCATTGGACAATTTAGTGACGGTAGAAGAAAAAACTGCTGGTACCTACATTGACATCGCTGTTACTCCAGGCAACTCGTGGCTAGTGCAATCTAGACGAAACGTCGAGAGAGGTTCAATTGTCATAAAAATATTCGGGTTAAGACCTAGTTAATAATATATACAGGAATGACATAGTACGAAATTAGTTCATACGTAAGTTTAAAAGTTGCCCCAATGATAGAGAAATTACGGACTCATGTCATGTATGAACATGTCATGATTTAAAGAAAGATTTTAATATGAAAGTGGATGAAGGTGTACCAAATTCACCACCACGCGCCAACACTCTTTCCTAACTACAGTTTGTTCTGGTAAATGGTATAATAATAGCCTTGTCTTTCGGGACTGAATCCGGTACTTGTAATATATATCATATTCATATCCTATACATTACATCTGTATGTATCATCTACAATATAAATATGTACATAGGGTCGACTGTTAATTTCCTTCCACCTACCAACGGCAAAGGAACACTTAATGTAAATAATAGTAACACTACTATAGCTACTAAAAATGTAAAGGAAAACACTACCGATGAAACGAATGATGGACTACGGGAGAGACGATATGCATAAAAGGAGAATAAGATCAGATATTACAGCTGCTAGGTAAGAGTGGAAGAAGATGATAAAGTACCTACTGTGATAACTGGAAACAATGTGATAAAGGCAAGCTATGTTATTTATAAGTTACTGTATTCTGACTCTTATCGTCCGTAGGTAACTAAGGGCGGGGCATTACGTTCCGAAAAAGACGTCGAACACTTATAGATATTTGATACGAATTTTAAGGATAATTACCACCAACTAATTTGATATCGATCTAATCGGTTTTCGTGTACAATCGCCAGAAATTGATTGATCGTTTTCAGTCGTTATAACCACCTCAGTCAGCTTTCGGTTTATATTAGTTCCCTGCTAGTACTCGTGAAGTGCGGTTGTGACAATTTTCTAGTCCAAAGTAAGTGCCGGTTAATTAAAAATAATATTACTATTTTCTTTTAATTCGTCCAAATTAATTATCCATAGTTCATAGTTTATATTTGACCTTATTTGAAGTTAATTTTCAATTGGTGGATAAACTATAGCATTCATTTTATTTATTTTTTATTGGATTATGATAATATGGTGCACCCGTCTGTGCTAACGGTATACGCTGGCATCAGCGGAGGATCAAAAACTGAGGATAGAGTCAGGTCCATCAGCCCATCGTGGTGAATTCATCAGGATTTATCCATGATAGTTTCAAGGACTGATTAGCTGCCAATATTACTTAAGCCAACTACCTGGCATCATATTGCCAGCGATGGGGTCACTAATAATCCCCTCCCAATTTAATATATTTCTTTTTATTTTCTAGGTACCATATCCAAAAACAAACAAGATGTCTGTAAGTATTGCTAACATTATTAAAAAGTTTTTTAATTAGTTGAAATAGGTGCAAAGTTCCCAAATAATATTCTTATATTGCACATATATTAGAGTCATCTCTATATCACATAAAGGACATTTTTTGCCACTTATATATACGCTAACATTTTTTCACTGTACTTTCCGTCCAGCTTTGCTATGTCACTTCCGACGTGAAGAACTAACATGAACCAGAATTGGTGTATTTTTTAATCAGTCTTTTAATATCCTTGCCAAGCAACTTAAAATAGTGTATTTTCTGTACATTAAATATTATCTGTTACTCGCCATTTTGTTAGTGGCGCCATATATGGTCGTCTTACAAGTACGATCCCCCGTCCAATTCAAACGGGGATCGAAATTATGACGACCTGAGCTGAGGTTCGAACTCCTAGCGGTGCCCTCAAACTAAAGTCATATCCGTTGAGCGGGAGTTGGCTTTCAGCCGCTCCGTGTGTCCTTCCGCGGATTTTGGAGTACCATCTGCACTCGAACTCTATCGTCCGGAGAAGTTGTAAAGGCCAACACCATTAAAATAGTCCGAAAAAAATGTAATAGACTACAAAATTATATCTATGTAGAGATAAACTATAGATTATTTATCAGCCTTGTAATCGATTTTTATTGTAATCACGTAAATTGCTATTGCGTAATCTGATGCATAATACCGGTTTCATATCATTGACACTTTATTCAAAGTAAATTGCATGGGTACATCTGCTATACTCACTATTGTCGGCAAACAGCTTGATATGTAAATTATATTTTAGTGTAAGTAAGTGATATTGCAACTGATTCTTATTAAAACAATCCAATTCTGATTGTATAATCTTTTGAACGTTGTTATTATTTATTAGAATGCCTTTATTATTGAGAGCATCGGTGATCTAGCGGTATAGCACACCGCTTTATGGTCGCGAGTTCGAGTCTTCGGCCGTGCAAACATTTGTATTCATGAGTACGATTGTTTGTAACTCTCTGGATAATTTAGATGTAGTACGTATTTATAAGAAAAATATAAATATTTATGTCAGTTGTCTAGTAAATAACACAATCTCCGCTTAGCTTGGGACTAGATGGCGGTGTATAAGTTGTTCTGAGTTATTATTATTATATCCATTTATGTCTAAAAAGGCATAGTAGGTATTAAACAGGCATTGTAGTATATCATATATACTACAATGCCTTAATATGCCTGTTACAGCTAAGCTGTAGTAGCTTATAACAAAACTACGGCTACAAATACAAAATAAATACCTAGAGATGCTGTAATAATCAAGCAATACAGTACCTACGATCCTCAACCGTGAACTTTATACTTTAAAATGTATATGCATGACGACTTTGAGTCATATTTACTGTCATTTCTTCTAAATTATTATTATAAAGAAAAAAATAGATGTGATTGTTTGTAACTATTGTAATCATTCGTTGGATGGTTTGTTTCTATTCGGTAAACCGGTGCTCGGGGTAGAGCCTCGCTATCCTGTCCCAATTGTATTCTACGCCGGTAGTTGGTTATACAGTTATACTATGTAATACTATGTTATCTGTGGTTGTACTAAAAAGTCTGATTGCGCGGCTTGCTGTCGACCCCAATTGAATTTGGAAATGTGTATTAAAATTAATAAATCATGTTTCACTAAATAAGCAAGCGTACACCGATAGCACAACCGATGTATTGAAAGTATTTTTTTAAGTATTTTTTAGGTGTTCTACATTATCTTAATGAAGAACACCTTAAAAAAATACTAATAAGGTAATGTGAAAATAAAAGGCTCTATTTGCTGCAATGATCGGCCCATTAGGAACTTTTAGTTGAGATCCAAGTAACCACGCAGACGACTTTCTGTAAAGTACACTTCGGTATTAGATAACGTTACTTCAGGTGTACATAGATTTCAGGTTAGAATTGTATTGGTTTTGTATAGTCCTCAGATCATGTTTGTGAACTAAACTATAGATAAGTAGTATTTGTCCAATATCAAGTTTTAGAACAAATATATTTATTCTATGATAAATAAAATAATTAATAACGATATCCTCGATAAATAATACCAACCAGATAACGGCTCACAAACTAAATAAACTTTGAGTCATTTAGGTAACGTTGGGAAATTAATAACCCTGGAAAATTCACACAGCGCCAAGCTAAGCAGTTTTACGTTATTAGTACTAGATAACTGATATAAATACATAAATACATACACAATATTCATAGGAAATGCCCAGACCAATACAAATTGGAAGTATGGCGGTGTCTAAGTAAATCCTAAACCACCAAGGCTATCAAATTGAAGACATAAAATATCTAATAATTTTATAATGTAAAGCTAAATGGTTCTATTTAGTTTAGTTATAACGGTTATCTGGTTGAACAAAAACAAAAATACAAAGAAACTAAATTATTTTATGTAGTAGTACTGTCAATGAATATTGAATATCAGTCCTACCCTAACCTACTTAGAAACGACCACGTGCATGGTTTATAGAATTATAGTCTTTTCCAACTAAACCCTTGTGAAATTTAGTCAAGCTTAACATAAAGCCTTTTAATTTTTATATCGTATCTTTATACAATCTGGTTTTTATTAGTAGGTCTATAACAGAATGTTAAGACCACTCCCCGCACTACGGTAGTGATGTTATGCTGATAAATAGCACATGTATGTATTGTTCCAAGTAACAGAAATAACTAAAAGTAATTGCTGTTACAAAATAATTAACAGTAATTACTGTTTTCTTACTTGCTTAAAATTTATAATAGAAAATAATTAAGTTCCGCATACAAATCACCAATTTCTATATCGAAACGGTAACAATAGTATCGAATAAATTTGCGTGATAATTACGTTGCAACTATATTTTCTAGAATATTGCACTGGTTTGAAGATTTAGTAGGTCTATGTACCTAAATATGTATGATATTGCTGTGGTAACTGTAGGATATTGCTGTAATATATAGATGATTTCAGATCATACCTTAGAATCTCGTTTTTATCATTTCTTAGGTATATTTTATTGGCGTCTATGCCGAGCAACACGGTTAGGTTTTTGTCTGGAATATCAGGAAATAGGGAGTACACTCTATTTCCTGATATAAGAACGTATCTACTACCTTTTAGAAAGTGAGCAAGGAATTGAGTGGTACGGTTAGTGATAAATTTTTTAAAGTGCGTATGTGGCAAAAAATTTTCTATATGAATAATTGACTTTGACTAAGTGACAATACAATACAGTATTTGGCACGTATTAGATTAGCTGAATTAGGGAGATAGACCTTTTTGTTCAGTTATATTCTTATAAAGTATAATTTTCTTTGTTTTTTGTGGAAATCAGCATTTGATTTATTTTTCAACAGTTCGAGAAAGCCGCTGCTGACGTTAAGAACCTGAAGGCTCTCCCCGGAGACAAGGACCTGCTCGAGCTGTACGGTCTGTACAAGCAGGGTACCGTCGGTGATGCCGATCCCTCCAGTGAGTTGTTTCTCTTGTATAATAAAGTAACGAATCGACTACCTCGGTAATCTAGGAGTTTGGCACACTGCTTTACTTTTGATGTTCGCAGGTTTAAATCCTCATATGGTACAGTCTTTACTATTCATGAGTATAATTGTTTGTGTCAGTCTGGATCTTTATGATCTACAAAAAAAATATTTAAGTATTTATATCAGTTGTGTAGTACCCACAAGCATACAAGCTCAGCTTATCTTGGGACTAGATGGCTTTGTGTGAATTGTCCAGGGCTATTATTATTACATATAGATATTAGATACTAAAACAGTTGGTAGTAGTTATTACAGTTTCGTTTACTAGTTACTTTTGGTGTAACTGATATATCGTTTCTTGTTATTCAGAACTAAATCAACGTAATTTAAGTTAATAATACAACTATTACCGTCAATATTGAATACTTACCGACTGGTAAGTACTTCCTAGGTAGACTTTCTACAACCTGTTCTGTGTTGATCTTAACTATGTCGACTGTAGCTTGCTTTGTAAACTGTTAAAGCGGTCAGTGGGATATGGCAGTGCAGTTATTGGGTACGGGGCTATGTATCTAGTCCTCATAAGAATTTATAAAGGGTACTTACTACCTGGTGATTTGTCAGTTGCCTGGTTTTCTTAACTCGGTTTACTTTAAAGTTTGGGTCTATATGGAGTTGTATGATATGTCCAGAGTTTTTTAATGATCGAGTTGTATATTGTATGAGTTATTTAATATCTTGTTTATTTGATATTTTCTCATATATAGTTTCTCTACTTTTTTTGGTTTCTCATAATTATTTATTATTTAATTATCCCTATTTAAATTTGTCTGTTGTCTAAAGCTAATGCAATAACATAAATAACAATTAAATTTCGGTACTTTAATGTTAAAGTTAAATATAGATAACTATAACATATTTTTTAATCCTTGTATCGGCAAAGATAACATCGAGTTTGTTATCAATCACTGTCAAATCGAGTGATTACTTAAATAGTATCTTGTTTATTAAAACATTCCATTGAAAATTGTTTATTTGTGATAGGAAATGTGTATTTTCATTTACTGATACGTCGATATTTACTGTAGTATATGTATCATAACATAACTGTGAGTAATTACTTACTTCAGTGTGTATTTGTTTTGAGAGAAACCTGGTGTGGATAATTTGTGTGCGTATTTTGATACAATTATCTCTTGTCTATGCCTCAAACATTATATGGAAAATATTAAGTTAATTAATATAAGCAGCACAGCTCTATTTTTTCTTTGAGATAATGAATGATGATAATGAAATGGTATACCCGCGTGCGCTAACGGTTTGGAGTTTTGGTTTCACCAGTGGAGAATAAGATGCGCATGAGGTCCGGTCAGTTAGCCATCGTGATAAACTCACCAAGGATTTATTACGATGGTTTCCAGGGGGAAGCGCGTGGCGGTAAATCTGACATGGTACATTGCCAGCAGTAATATAATCAGTCTACATTACTGACAATTTTCTTTCCCCCCAGCACAGCCCCATTAACTAATGTTTAAATTACGTGATGATTTCATAGATTTTTTTTTCCGTTTTTCCAGACAAACCCGGTTTGTTAGACCTTAAGGGCAAAGCGAAATTCGAAGCGTGGAGCTCCAGGAAGGGAACATCACAGGCTGATGCCCAGGCAGCTTACATCGCTAAAGTGCAGAGCCTTATTGACACCATTGGCCTCAACTAATTATAAGTACATAAGCATAAATAATTGTCCGACAAAGCAGCCGTGAAATAACCTATGAGCAGTTTGGGACCATAACATCTGGTCGTCAAAGACCTAAGCTGCACTTCTCTATGGTTGTCGGCGATTATAAGAATCTACATTTTTATTGAGCGGAAATGAGAGTGTATAAAAATGCAATTATCTTTGGTTGTGTGCTATATTCGCTAATATAAATTAGTACTCATATTTTATTAGCGATATTTAAATTTCGAATGACCGATTATCTTGTGTCTGGACCAGTTTTATGCTGGAATGTATTGAAAAGAAGTAAATTTCCGTCTCACTAAAAATTCTCTGTATATTAATATTTATTTCTAAGAATATGTCATCAATTATGAAGTTAGCACGAATTTATGCTGCATTTCATGAACATATCTTGGTGCTCTAACATGCCTTCGTTATTATTTTTTTATACTATTATATAAAATAAATCTGTTGACATACAAAATATGTTTTTATAAGACCCTTCACAAAAATCCAAATATGTAAAATCCCATAAATCATCTAAGTATTGATAATTGTCTCTCCCCAAGATTGTCAGATAGAATTTTTTTTCTCAACTTACTTGACTCTGTACTTCACCCAATACACATAGAATCCTTCAAAATTTTGGTTATTCTGATGTTTGAGCTATAGTACTGTAAAGTTTCATAAATATCTGTTTTAAAATACATCTTACCATACACCTAATCAAACTTTAGTATTTAGAGTGTTATAAGAAATCTGTTGTACTAAATCAGTTTTTATAATATCCTTCAGAAAATCCAAATATCTAATTTATTACTGACTTCATACGCTTGAAATTTAATAATTTCATTGAAATAAATATTTTTTTTTAATATAATAGTAGCCTAAGTAAGTGGAGTGACCATATAATATTAGCTATTTGCGAGTGAAAATTGCATAAAAATTAGTCCAGTCGTTTCGAGATTAGCAAGAAGAAACAGACAGACAAACAAATATTATTTAAATTTATTTTCTTATATAAGTATGGCATATATTTTTATTTGGTATTAATTTGAAATTACAAACAGATACTTCAATTTTATCTATTTGTATTGATTGTATGTGTTTGATTTAACTATTAGTTATTAATGTACGTGGTGCTGTTCAAATATGCAAGATCCATTATGTGGAACCATTATAAGGTTTATATGGTATACAAATGGAAACAAAAACTTTAAAGACACTACATAAATACGCTTTATCATTACAAAAATACAATATAATAAATGTGTATACAACTTAATTCAAATAGCCTATTATACCACAAGCGACAGCCGGCCCCGAGGTACCAGTCAGCGCGCTGTCTTCTGTACTGGCTCGCCCATAATCATCTTCTCCTTTAGATATAGCTAAAGATCTGCCAACTATAGACCGTGGTCCCGCCAAAGATATCAAATGGTCGACAATTTTCACGTTGACAGTGGCGCCATCTTCGGCTTTTATGTTACCGAGGTCCCCAACATGGCGGACGTGATCGCGCGGCCCGCCGTGACGTCCCTGCATTGTTAATTTATTAATTTAATGCTAATTAATTTATATAATGGATGAGTAGTGATTGGCTTCTATTGTGCCACAGACAATTTTGTAATGAATAATAATAGAATAGGTAAAAGGATCTTGGCCGCAGGTTTACTAACCGTACTTAGACGAAAACGTGGAAGTTCGAATATGGCCGACACAAAATATTCTGTGCGATTTATATCTATGACTGAATCTCCGATGATGGTAACTGATAAAAAATCAAATTATTAGAGAAACCATTTCAGGCTCGCCTTCAGTCATCTTGCATTCAAAATATACGCGACAAAAAGTTGGCATATTGAGTGTTTGTGGTCACCACGACATCGTCAGTTGATAACACTGAATGTCCGGGCAATCCGGCCGGAAGGCATTCTTAGTAATGGGGAACAGTAATCACATTGCTAACAATTTACCATTTTAGGTTGATCCACGCGGTTCCCCTGAAAAGTACTGTGGTTAATTCCTGGTGAATGACGATGCTACGATGAGCTAACTGTCCTAAGTTTATGCTCATCCTATCATCGTTCACTAGTGCCCCGCCAGCGTATACTGTTAGCGTAGGCGGGTGCACCATTCCATTACCGTCCAAAACAAAGACGCTGATTATCCCTGAAAATCCCTACAGAAGTAATAATTATTTTTTAAATATTAAGACGTGTAAAGAATGACTTCTGAAGATAACAACTAATACGATACAAGCATATTTTCCTTTATGAAAAATATACATACGTAAAAAGCTATAAAGTGTGGTCCAATATCCTGGCAGTTCTCCTTCACAGATCCGACCTGGTGGACGTGCACACCATGAAGACCTGGTTCTAAGCCAGTTACGTTTCCCTCTATAGTGACGGGACCATTGGGTACGATTTGAGTGAACACCAATTCTCCGCTGACTCCGGAACCCTCATCGGCTTGTAGATGGACGATGGCTTGCAGACCTGGAGCTGACCTCGGAGCCTGTAGAATATTATAAGCACTAGTCATTTAATTCGATTATAGAAAAACTATATTTGAATAACGTTATCTACCTATTAAACCGTGTAGTTTTGTAGAGGGTAAAAGTTCTACACATCCCCTTGTCTCACATCTGACGGGGCACGGTCTTTTGTGTAGATTTTTCCACAAGATAAAAAAGGCAACTATTTATCAAGGGTGTTTAACATTGACATATTATAAACTTTAATTATTCATTCATTCATGATTTAAGAGCCATGCTTGGTGGAGCTCTTGCTAGTTTCCACGATCTTCCATCATACTCTTTAAATGTTGATCAGACACCTTTTTTTAAGGAAATTTTAATTGCCTGCATACAAGCCAGGTTAATAATTATCCAACTGCTCGAGCATTGCATTTCTTGAACTCATTTTTTCTTAAGGTCCAAGATGTTGCCGTCTACACAGAATCCTTGTCTTCTCTAATAAATGAAATTAAAATTTACCTGGCCTTAGTTAAGTAATAGTTTTAAGATATAAACGTGTTGGCAATTAGCTGTAAGTTTACATTGTACGAATAAATAAATACATAGTAGTGGGTACTATAAGCTCATGTACCATGTAAGGTTGAACTCCACGCGGTCCCCTTTGGAAACCATCGTGTTTAATTCATGGTGAATTTGCTGTGATGATAATTAATATATTCCATATCTTTACATATGTAATATTAAATGAAGTTCCATCCGATTTCTGTTTGCTTAGTTCTTTAAAACTGCGCAACGGATTTTAATTCAGTTTTTATCAATATATAGAGTAATTCAAGAGAAAGGTTAATAAAGCCGAGGCGGGTAGTTAGTTTATTCATAGAAAAGTCTTTAACTCATTTTTTATTTGATTCGGATTCGTTTCTACCGAAGGTTGTATTCATTTCGATTTTGACCAGAACATTAGCGCAGTTCCCTTTGCCTTTCCTTTTCATTTATATTTTAATTTAATTTTACTAATAAATAATCGTGTATTTTAATAAAATTTAATATAATAAGTGATAATTAATTAGTACCAGTGTTTGTTAAAGACTTCATCAAGATTTAATTTGTGAAATTCTTGCCCGTTCGACATCTTGTCAAACGGGGTCAACGGCAGCAAAATTCGAAAAACTTTGGATAAACTTTGGATAAACCGGGGAAGTATTGTTTTTATTTATATGTTTACCTTTGATTGAGTAATCTATTTAATCAATAAACTACCTCTTAATATAAATACTTTCTTGCTAATCTAAATAATTAGATTGTCATCAATTCATCACATGCTATAGATCGTTTGTTATATACAAATTCTTTGAATGTTGTTTTATTTATAGAAAAATAAGTATCTAGATTTACCATTTTTTACTCATTTTATTCCTAAAGTAATATTAGAAATATTTAACAATAATTGCGACTTACAAAATACACTCCTAACTACCTACATAATAGTACTAACGATTCGTTTATTTTGTCTTTACTGTACTCCCTATATTTTCTTAATTAATAATTAATACATAAATATAAAATAATACACAACTACAAAATTGTTTTATAAATTATTAAATTGTGAAGTAATCTTATATATTAACTCCCTAATCAGCCTTACTAAATTGTATATTTTCAATACTCATCTGTTTTATCTTTACTATGTTTCCAGTAAAAATGGTCACTCGCAGTAAGGACTTGGATGTGAAATTGAAGAAGGCTTTACAGGAGTTAAAAGACAAGAAGGAACTATGTGACAAATTAATTCAGGAACGGGATGAGGGGGAGGTAGAAATATCAAATATAGTACATAAAAATACTATATTAAAGCAAAACTTGGCTGAATTAGACTGTAAATTTCAAAATGTACAAAAAGAACGGGATCAACTGCAGTTTCTTGTCGACTCCTTTGACCAGTGCCGGAATGCTCATGACTGTGCACTCAACCGCATCCATGAATTAGAATGTGAATTGTCAGAAGCATATAATAAAATTAACACATTGACCACAAAAATGGGAGACCAAGAAGCAGAAAAGACTATGACATTATATGCCGAGTTGATCGAACAAAGTGTATGTGATGAGCCTGACCCTGTCCACTCCATCTCTGACACACAGAAGCCTTTTGTACAACAGAAGCGAGTAAAGCAACCTCTAACTAATTACAATAGTAAGAACTATAGAAAAATAAGCAGACAAATTAAAAGATTAAGAAAATCTTTCAAACTTAATCAAACTGCCTTATCAAAATTAGTAAAAGAAAAAGAATTTAATTTTGAAAAACAATTAGAATATTATGAAAATCAGTTCTGGACCCATAAATTACAGTTTGATACAAATACTACAAGGTTATTATTGCATATAAAAGAACTGGAAACATCATTGGATGCTATTAGTGACAAGTACTCACATGCTCAGTTTCAAATATCAAAACATAATGTTGTGATGAAGGAATTGCTTGAATTTAACTCAAAAAGTGAAAGTGGAACATCAGAACAACTGTCACAGCAACATGCAGACTGCAACACTATGTCGGGCAATTACACATCACCTTCATCAACATCCATTGTCACTCCGGAACAAACAAATATACTACCCAATGTTGTTAGTAGTCACCACACATGTAAGAATAACACTGTAATATATTCAGATAGTATAGGAATAAATCTAGGATCGCTCATGAATAACTGTTTGAGTGAACATATCCAAAACAATTGTATGCCGAATGCCCCATTTAATTATATAGTTGATAGAATGTTAAAAAATCAAAATAGTTATACTGAATACACAACTATTGTGTTATTCATTGGAAATAGTTTAGGTATCACTCAAAATGATTTGATGAACTTATTTGAATCTGTCTCAAATATGAGAATTAAAAAATTTGTAATATGTACATTTCCATACTCAAAATCATTATCAAAGAATAGAAATAATTATATCTTTAAACTTAACACTCATATATATAACATGAGCTGTTATAATGACAACATTCATTGTTTTGATACAAATAAATTTGTAAAAAAATTTACATTGACTAAAAATACTTTGTATTTGTCACATTTTGATAAAAGACATATAACTACTTTGTTAGCTTATAATATACACAATCCTGTTATAAGTAGTATAACGGGTACTTATTCTGACTGCACAGTTTTTAGTAGTTTTACTAATGTTTCTGTGCAAGAATCTTTAAACTTAAGTTACAGACAAAGAGAAAGCCATCACAACTAAATTTAGTACATCAAAATATTCAAGGCTTTCTTGGCAAAGAATTAGAGATAGAATTATTTATAAGTAAATTTAATATTGACATTGTATGCCTCACAGAACATTGGTTGAAACAGTCCAACATGGTATTTCAGTTACCAAATTATGAAATATTGAGTACATTTACTCGGCAAATTTCAATTAGAGGTGGTTCAATTATTTTATTAAAAAATAACATTAAAGGGAAAGAACGTAAAGATATTGTAGCACTTTCAAATGAATGCATTATAGAATTATCATGTGTAGAACTAGAGAAACACATAATTATATGTGTGTATAGGCCTCCTAACTCAGACTATGAAAAATTTGAGTCTACCATGGAAGATGTACTGAAGTTAGCATTCAAAAGTAACAAATTTATTTTGGTATGTGGGGATTTCAATATAGATCTTCTTGTTGATAGTCCTATAAGTAATAAAATTAGAAACCTTTTTAAAAGTTTTGATCTGGATCATATTTTCTTTGAACCTACTAGGATTACATCCACTACGGCAACATGTATTGATAATATATATTGTAATTTTAGTATTTTAAATAAATCGATTATAAATAGATTGCCGTCAGACCATTGTGGACAAATAGTAACATTCGCATGTAATGAAAAAAACGAGATTATGTATAAGTTCTACAGACCAACAACAGCATTTAAATTACAGAATTTTAAAAACAGATTAAATGGAAGTTTACCGTTTTTGATATTTGATAATATTGATCCAAATATATCATATAATCGTTTTTTCAATATAATAAAAAATCATTTTGATAAAAATTTTACAGTAAAGAAACTTAAAGTCAATAATTCTAAGTACGCTGAATGGTCAACATTAGGTATCAATATAAGTAGGGAAAATATGTATCAATTATATGATATTAGATCATATTTGCGTGATCCTATATTCTATGAATATGTCAAAAATTATTCAAAGTTATTCAAAAAAGTATGTAAGGCCGCCAAGGCACTTTATTTAAAGAATAAAATTAAGTTTTCTAAAAATAAAATAAAAACTACCTGGAATATAATAAATACAGAAACAGGTAACATTAAGTCGCGCCAGTCAGAATATGAGTTAAAAGCAGAAAATGGCGTTATTATTGATAATAATGAACTAGTTGCTCAAACTTTTGATAATTTCTTTTCAACAATACCTCTCAAAGCTACGGAAAATTTAAACTCGTCCCCTAGTTTAGCTGAAACATTATTAAAAAATACCATAAATCCTTGCGTTCATGACTTTACTTTTCATCATATCAGTTGCTCCTGTGTGATAAAAACGTTCAACGCTCTCAATCTAAAAGGAACTGAGGATATCTGGGGTATGTCAGTTAGAGTCATGAAAACTGTAATAAGTGAAGTTGCTTCACATTTAACTGAAATATTTAATATGAGCATTGATCAAGGTATTTTTCCAGATCTAATGAAAGTGAGTAAAATAATACCGCTATTTAAATCTGGTGACAAAGACAATATATCTAATTTTAGACCTATCTCAATTTTACCAGTATTTAGTAAGATTTTTGAAAAGATACTACTTACACAAATGTTAGCTCATTTTAATACACATGATTTATTTCATAAACAGCAATTTGGATTTATGAGTGGACGGTCTACTACTGATGCAGGCATTAACTTAATACAAAGTATTTTCGGTGCCTGGGAAGATTCACAGGATGCCATTGGTGTCTTCTGTGATCTCTCTAAAGCGTTTGATTGCGTTGACCATAGGATATTATTACGCAAACTAGA